CCCTGACACCCCATGACCTCCCTCGTGCCCAAACCACCTTTGGTTTGAATCGAATCTGGCTAGAAACACTCAAACCCCAAATCGAAACGTAAGAACCCTAGAAAATCAAAACTGGTTTCTGTCTGAAGTTTAAGGGAATGTGGGTGTTTAACTGACCTTAGTTGAAGTGTTCTCAGTTGAGAACACTCGATTAAGGTCCTTTCGACCTCAAATAGTTCGAGTTTGAGTTTGAATCAGGGTCGTCCAGGTCCCGAGTTCTTGAGGTATTTTCCCCTTTCCTGTTTGCTCCATTTTTGTGTTTGTTTCTGGTTACTTTAGTTTAGTTTTATTGACTTTTCATTTTATTTTATCGATTGATTCTGTCCGTCTTCAATGACCCTTTATTTGGTCGAACTTTTTCTGGTCATGGTTAATGAATGTGATAAAACTATATAATCGATTGAATGAGTGTCGTCGATTAGTTAAGTTTTGTTATGAATCCCTGTTTTCTATCAATACGATTCGAATCACCTGTATGCCTGTTCGATTCTTATTTGCTATTGATTGTATGTGTTTTACATGCTTCAATTCTGATTAAATAACCTGATAACAATGTGATTCGTATTGCTTCAATTCTGATTGAATCATTGTTTGAATTTGATTGTGAATTGGTTATAGCTGTAGTACTTTAGTGATCAGTGAAAAATCAGTTGTTAGGTTTGTAACTTAGAAAACATATCGATTGAAGTTTAGGGCATGGCAGTAATACATAGGGGTTAAGGGGGTATTTTGGGGATTGAAAAGTTCAGAAATTGGCTAGTTTATGTGGGTTGACAGTAGGGTACTAAAATATCATTAAACTAATACAATTATTTAGTGCTAATGGGGAACAAGACATAATGGTAGGGGAAAGGTTTAAAGAAAATGGATTAAGAAATAGGTGCCCATACCTATTTGAATTTAAATAAAGAAAAGACAAGTGTAGTGGAGAACAAAACATATACTAGTGGAATTAAAAGGAGATGATGGGCAGAATTAGTGGGAAAATTCTGCCCAAAGTGCTTTTGAAAGTTGAGGGGCAAGGTCAGTGTTTGGTTATAAATAAAGTCACTTAGGACAGATTTAGGGTCGGAGTTTTTACAGAGGATAGGGGCTTTTGGAATCTGAAAAAGGTCAGAGTTATAGAGTAAGGTTAGGCTGGAGTTTTGACACTAAGAATTTAGAATTAAAGAGCAAAGAACAGGTTGATCTTAAAATCAAAAAAGAGTTCAGTTTTTAGAGAGTGAAAACAGGCTGTCTTTGTCCTGAGACCAGTAGTTTGAGAGTTTGTTTGAGAGTGTTCTATTTTGAGTGTTAAAAAAAATCATGACTGTTTCCTTGCATCTTTTGCACTTCTGAATACTTCAAAATTGTTTCTTAAGGTGGGTTGTCTGCTAAACATTGTATAACATTGAACTGTTAAATTGAACCCTTGGAATGGCATAAAATGTAGTCAGTTCAATAGGTTTGTGAAATGGGATTGTTGAATCAGTTTGGAGGAACTCGATTGTCATCAGCAATAGGAGGATCTAGACTAATGTCAGGTTAAAATGGTAATGAACTTGTAATAGGATTTCAATTCATAAGCTGATCTAGTAATATTCATCCTACTCGCTAATAATTTTATCAGTAATCATGCTAGTGTATTAGGATGTCTTCGTTTGAATAACAGTTTCTGAATTCGATAGTAAGCAAAACCTGAATTATTGTTGGTAGATTAGTGTTGAAATCAGTTAGAAGTCAAGAAAAGAAAGGCTCATTTACATTAAATCGGTGCATTTAAACCCATAGTTCGTAACAGATAATGGGTATGATAAATTGGTTTAGGAATTTTGGAGTTCATGTCGGTCGATTTAAATGAAGGTATGCATTGTCGTTGAGGTGCGTCATCGTTAAGTTGTTGGTTCGAACAACAAAAGCTGGGACATTGCACGCTTGTAATTAATTAGGCCTTTTTCTCTATCTTTAGAGATAAAAGTAAATAGAGAACCATAGTCGCTTTAGGATATCCTTAAAATAAACGAGGCGTGCCTCGCCTAATAAGTTGCAAACTACGGGGCCCTCGATAATTGTACATATTAAAATACATAGATTTTGGGAGAGGCCTTTTAGCGAGTTTCACGGCCATTTCCCTAAATAACAACGTGTTAGTCTCTTTAAGTGCGTACTTTAAATAATATTACCTTCTTAAATCCGGATGCATATTTATGTGACCCAAATCCAAATCTCAACGAAGTCGAAATATGTCGGTAATCACGGGTACATTGATTGTGACGTGGTTCGAGGTGTATTTTCACGATGTTGCAATTCTCGGTAAAAAATAATAATAATAAAAGCGGTACACAGTTAAAATTTGCACATAGGTTCAACATATATTAAAATCAAATAAACAGGCCGAATATGATAGTTGAGCGACCGTGCTAGAACCACGGAACTCGGGAATGCCTAACACCTTTTCCCGGGTTAACAGAATTCCTTACTCAGATTTCTGGTTTGCGGACTGTAATACAGAGTCAATCTTTTCCTCGATTCGGGATTCAACCGGTGACTTGGGACACCATAAATCTTCCAAGTGGCGACTCTGAATCTTTAAATAAAATCTCGTTTCGATTGTCCTTTAATTGGAAAAACTTCCTTTTACGTGCCTTTGCGGGCGCGGGCGAAAAAGGAGGTTGACAACGTTCACGTGACATAATTATGATTTTTAAAATAAATCGAGGTATGCGTTCACGCAACTTCGACCAAAAATTTCTTAATAACAATAAAGCATGGTTAATTATGGACACGTGCGCGTGACACGATTTGTGACGCACCAAATGAAACGAGTACACGTACGTGTGACCTGTTTCAAGATAATTTCTTAAAGCAAATACACATAGGTTATAAAATGAGTAATTAGACAATTTGATTAAGCCAAGTATGATCAAAGCGACCGTGCTAAAACCACAGAACCGGGGAATGCCTAACACCTTCTCCCAGGTTAACAGAATTCCTTACCCGGATTTCTGTGTTCGCAAACCATAAATAAGAGTCAAACTTCCTCGATTCGGGATTTTAAACCGGTGACTTTGGACACCATAAATTATATCAAGTGGTCACTCTGAATAAATAAATAATCTCATTTCGATTGTCACTTTAATTGGAAAAACTCCCTTATACCCCCTCTCGGGGTAGGAAAAAAGAGGTATGACAGTCATGTGGGGTGTTTGAGGAAAACAGGACCCTTGCCTTTGCTAGATTATTTTCTGACCTGACTGTTCACTGAAATTCTGCATAATGGAAAGTATAGTGTTACAGTTCTTGTCATTATCTTTAGCAAAGAGGGTTAGGTCATCTGCGAAGAAAAGATGGGATATTTTTGGGCCAGGCCTGCTTATACGTATGGGTTGCCACTGATTATCCAGAACAGCCTTGTCAATTGATCTTGATAATCTTTCCATACACATTATGAAGAGGTAGGGAGACATTGGGTCTCCCTGCCTGATACCTCTTGAAGGTTTGAAGGGTTCAGTTTTCCCCCATTGACAAGAATGAAGATGGAGGAGGAACTGATGCAGGACATAATGAGTTTGGATAAACCTTGGGGAAAGTTGAAATAAGAAAGAGTGTTTCTAATAAAGGACCATTCCAGTGTGTCAAAGGCCTTTTCTAGGTCAGTTTCGAGGATCATATTGCCATGTTTCCCTTTCATTCTTCTAAAGTGAGTGATGTACTCTTGGACAATGATGGCATTATCACAGGCTCTCCTATTGAAAAGGAAACTGGCTTGGCTTGGCCCAATGATGTGAGGCAAGATAGGCTTTATTCTGTTCACTGTGATTTTAGTGACGGACTTGTATATTGTGTTACACAATCCAATTGGCCTAAAACTTTTTAACATTGAAGCTTGGGAGCATTTTGGGATTAGGCACAATAGAGTCTGGTTCATGGTGTCATCCATAGAACTTGAAGAGAAGCATTTTTTACAGAAGTTTGTGACAGAGTCACCAACTGTGTCCCAGTATTTTTGGTAAAAAAGGGGTGAAGGCCATCAGGGCCAGGAGATAAAGGGTTTGTGGGAGAAGACTGTCTTTTTTATCTCACTCAATTCAAGAGGTATGTCTAAGAAAGCTTTTTGGGATTCATACAAAATGGGGGACATATGGAGTGGTTGGTGAAAGCCACAGGGGCTTGGGAGTGGGATGTGGTATATAGATCAGTGAAGAAGCCCAATATGGTTGCTTGGATATCCTTCTGGTCATGGAGCCAGTTTCCATTCTCGAGAGGATTATGTTCCTTCTTCTCCTATTGAGGGTGGAGGTGTGAAAGAATTTAGTGCTAGCATCACCCTCGTTAAGCCAACTAATCATAGATTTGAGCTTCCAGAAATCCTCTTCGTTTTTAGGATTAAGTTATGCTCTGTAATCAAATTAGTCTCAAGATGTAGCAGGTAATTACTGAACTGGTAGTTACGAGATTTTTGGATTCCAGAAATTCTTGCTAGGATTTTTCTCTTTTGGTGGAAGATGTTTCCAAATATTTCCCAGTTCCACTTGGTGACCATTGTTTTGAAGGAATCAGTGGATTGAAGGGGGTTGGAATGATCTGAGAATGCCCTATTGATGATGTTAGGAAAGGGCGGGTGGCTAGCCCACATTGACTCAAACCTAAAAGGCCTTGGTAGGTTATTGTTTGGAGACCCTACTAAATTAATTTGAAGGGGCAATGGTTCAAGTGTCGAAGAAGAAGAATAATTTTTTAAAATTTAAAAATAATTTAAAACTTCTAATTTACTGCTAATGACAAGCTTTTAATCCATATACAAATATTATAATATATTTAAAATTATAAATTTTAAAAAAATTATAGTCGCATAATATTTTTAAAACTATAAATTTCAAAAAAAAAAACTTTTTAAATTCTAGTGTATTTAAATTACGACACGTAATTTGAAACGAGAAGAATAACTTTAACTTTGAACATAAAGAACTCCACCTTCTAGTCCCTTCAAGAACTTCTACTCTTTAAATTATCAGAATCCAAAACCAGAAATTCATATAAATACAAGAATCCGACAAGCTAAATACAGAAAACTCAGAGAAAAAGAAACAAAGAAAGAGAAACAAAAAGAAGAAGAAGAAAAAAAATGGCAAAAGCACGTTCAATAGGAATAGGTATGGATTATTCAGCAACAAGCAAAATAGCACTGAAATGGGCAATTGATAATTTAATAGAAGAAGGTGATAAAATCATAATTATTCATGTTGTTTCTTCTAAACTTGAGCCTACTAATAAGCAACTCTTTGAAGACACTGGATCTCGTAAGTTTTTTATTTTATTTTTTTATTTAAAGAAGTTTTAATTTGTTTATTTTTGTAATTAAAATATATTTGTTGCTAATTATTTTATATATTTTGCAGCTTTAATACCTTTGGATGAATTTAGAGAAATTAATGTGTCCAAGTATTATGGACTTAACCCTGATAGAGAGGTTCTTGATATGCTTGACACTGTTTCCAAGCTTAAAAGAGTAAGTTTAATTCTTCCTCTTTCTTCTTCTCCTCTTCTTCTTTCTCGCAATAACTTAACCAACGACACGTGTCCTTAGATTAGTAGAGAAATTAAGTGAAATTAAGTTCTATGAAGAGGATTCAACTGCACAAATACGATAAATATTTTTTATTTATATTTAACTTTTTAAATCCCTTTAAGTGTAATGGTAAAGGAGGTTTAAAATTGCTTTAGATCATAATTAATAATCTGTTTGGCCAAGTTTTAAAAATTAGCTCACTTCGAGAAGTGTTTTCTTTCAAAAGTATTTTTAGCGAGAAGCAGTTTATGTTTGACTATTTAATTTGAAAAGTATTTATGAGCAGCAATTAGTGTTTGGTCAAACTTTTAAAAAGTAATCCTAAATGTATTTTTCTCAAAAGTGCTTTTTAAAGTAGTGCTTTTGGAGAAAAGTTAATTTTTTTTACTTCTCCAAAATTGCTTCTGCTTCTACTCAAATCACTTTTTTTTCCTTTTAAAAGTTTGGTCAAACACTTCAACTTTGAAAAAAAAAATTATTTTTGTGGAAGAGCTTGTGTTAGAATTTCTGATTTTGCCATAGTTAAAATATTTTTCTTATTTTGAAGAGCTTGTGTTAAGAAAATTAAGGATTGTTTAATTATTAGTTTGTGAATTTTAATTTGTTGGTAAATTAAAAACTACAGGTAATAGTTGTGGCAAAGGTTTATTGGGGAGATGCAAGGGAGAAGCTGTGTGATGCTGCAGAACATCTGAAGCTTGATTCACTNACACACAAAATATAGCATCCTAAAAAATAAAGAAATAACCTGGTACACTAAGCTCCCGCTATACGCGTAATGACGGAAGCAGGATTTTTACTAAGGCGGTTCAAAAAATAAAAAAAAGTTAAAAGATTAAATGAAATTGTAGCTCGTGATAATTGAACCAATGACCTCACAAGGGTTTTGAACCCCCTTGACCACTAAATTATGCTTTTAGATTATGTCAAGGGGATTCAAAACAAAATCTATAGAGATAAAAAAAATAGATTTTGTCATATATATACAATGTAATTTTTCGGCGAAGGAGGTTCGAGTAAATCCCCTTCCGTCCCCCTAAATCCGCCCATGTATATGCGGGTTCAGAGAAGGATTTACCACGAGGGTCTATTGTACGCAGTCTTATCCTGCATTTTTTTTTACGGCTTGAACGCGTGATTTTTTGATTACATGGCAGCAATTTTACACGCTAAGGCTCCCCTCCTAAAAAAAATTGATTTCATTATTGATGTATAAAAAAAAGAGTGGTAAGTATCTTGCGTTTGCATAGATTCGGGAAAGGACCATTTTCAAAGAGTATATTATAGACGGTCTATCCTAAAACGTTAATAGTTGATTTTACGACTCGAACCCGAAAATAATACCGATCTAAAATAATTTAGAATTAATTGTTGTAGTGATCTTTTATCAGAATAAATAAGGCGTCGGTTTAATTATCAAATATGGGGTTAATTTGCAACTGCTTATATATTTGCAGGATGTTACTTGGAAGTGTGAGCAACCACGTGGTACAAAATGCAACGTGTCCTGTCACAGTTGTGAAGGCCAGCCCTCCAAAGTAAAAACAAATCTTTTTAAGTTTGTTTTTGTTGAAAAAAAAAAACGAAAAAAAAAATTGCTTATTTTTTGGATAAATTTTCTTATGTCCATTTTGTACTTTTACTTCTTTTTTTGTTTTGTTTTCTGTATATATATTTTGGATATACTTATCAGGTTCATTGGTATGAGTTGGCTTTTGTTTGAGAGTGTTGTATGAGAGACAATTGTGGGGTTGTATTATATTTTGAATTTATCATCTTATACGATTTTTGTTGGTTTCTTGTTTGTCGTTATGGACATTTGTCTTTGTCAAATGCTGAATGTTTCACTTGTGAGCTGGGGAAAAATGTGAAGTTCCCTGTGATAAGTGAATACTATGAAAACATGAAGGGTCGATATTAACAAAAAGCAAAACCTTGCATCAAGTTTGGCCGAGAATTAATCTTTTTATTACATATCCGAACCAATTTATTCGTATCTCAATTAATTTCATATAATGGTGTAGTCAGGAATTTTATCAAGGAAGTTCAAACTTTAAGAAAATTAAAAAAAAAATCAATGAATAGGTGCACCAAAATTTTAAATTAAATTACGCTATATTTAGCTAAATAATAAAAATACTTTGTAATACTTTGTAATAGAATTATAATTTTATAAATCAAAACTGACATTAAAAAGGGATAAAAATAAAAATAATAATAGTAAGCATAAAACCAAAAGAAAGAGAGAGTCGAGAGGATTGTGGAGTAGTATATAGGGAGCTTTTATTAAAGAAATTTTTGAAAGCTTGACTTTGAAATTATAAAATTTATTCAGAAACAATTTTAAATTTAAAAACAACTTCTAAGATTAGTTGTTTGTTTTTACACATACGATGATCTCCATTTAGTTTTGGCAAACAAAAGGAGCAAACATTTACGTGAAGATTTAAACATATCTCACTCATCAATATTAAGGGTATTCAAAAGGTAATATATAATCATATAAATTAAATTGATCTATATTCACAGTATAGTTTTTTAGCGAAGGCTATTCACTTGACTACTCTTGGCGTAGTGTTGTTACGCTATTGATTTCATGAGGTACCTGTGTACTGAATAACTTTTTTCACCAAAGATTGAATAAGTATTTTTTAGTATTTCTTTTATCTTCATTGCAACTTGAAATTGGTATCCTATGATTTTTAACGCATTATATTGATCACTAGATCACACCCTGCACAAAACTAATATCTTCATTTAAACATCAATGTTGCAGATTTAGGTACTTTTGTTCTTTCAGGCACATAGGCAGATCAAAGAGGCAAAGAGAGAGAAAATGAAGATTTCGTTTTTTCCACTTTCATCAAGTACTTCTTAAACATGATTTATCTAATTTATGTGGAACAAATTGGTTAAACTTTGTGATAAATCCTGTAAATATTTGTCATTTTAATTTTGAGATTACCACATTCAGATTTGACATGTTAGCGAGATCAACATTTATTCTACTCATCCAAGATTTTAACAGAAATTGCCCGCCAAATTTAATATATACTTTTTCTAGCCGGTTGTAATGACCCAATTGGTCGTTTTGCTTTTTAGAACCCCGTTCTCTTAAATAAAAAATTTCACGCTTGCTTTAACTAATTTACGACCTGCGGGGATGGTTGGTTCGAGATTTGAAAAAGTTTGGGTTGAAATATGCTCATTTGATTCCTTAAGATTTTCTTAAAAGACTAAATTTAACTTTGGTCAATATTTTTAGCAAACGGACTCGGATTCGTATTTTGAAGGCCCCGGAGGGTCCGTGGGAAAATATGGGACCTGGACGTATGCTCGGTATCGAATTCCGAGGTCCCTAGCCCGAGTAATGAATTTTTATCAGAAATTGTTAAACTGAAATCCTAAGGATTTAATGAAAAGGAATAATGCTTGATCATGTTGGTATCGGGCCCGTATGTTGGTTTCGGAGCTCGATACAGGTCCAATATAATATTTTAGTCTTGTCTGTGAAATTTGGTGAGAAACGGGACTGAGTTGACGTGATTCGGACGTCCGGTTGTAAAGATAGGAATTTGGATGTTCTTACGGATTTCATGCGTTTGGTGTTGAATCCGTGGTTTTAGGTGTTATTTCGGCAATTTGATTGCTCGAGCAAGTTTGTACAATATTGTTGGACTTGTGTGAGTGTTCGGAGTGGAGCCCCGAGGGCTCGGGTGAGTTTCGGGCATGGGTTGGGAGTAGAAAAGCACACCAGTTTTCTGGTGTTTTTGCTGCTGCTGCAGATCTCGCAATTGCGAGATATTGATCGCAATTGTGAACTCGCAATTGCGAGGATAACATCGCATTTGCGATGAAGCCGGCTGGGGCCAGTGGTCACATTTGTGACTTTTGCTTCGCATTTGCGAACCCAGCAGGGTCCGCATTTGCGACCCCTCTATCGCAATTGCGAACAAGGTAGAGGGAGGCCCAGTTCGCATTTGCGAACCTGGTGTCGCAAATGCGACGTTAGAGGCCTGGGCACAGCTTTTAAAAACGGGACTTATGCCATTTATTTCATTTCACTTCTACACTTGGGCGATTTGGGAGCTTTCAAAGAGAGGATTTCTACCTAGCATTGTGAGGTAAGTTATTTCTACTTAATGTGAGTTTAATACTTGGGTTTTGGGTAGATTAACACACTAAAATTAGTGAAAATCATGAGATTTGAGTGAAAACCTAGGGTTTTGATAAAAGTTAGATTTAACCACGAAATTTGTTATGAAATGAATTAGAAATTATATATTATTGATCCTTGGATTACAAAGAACAATTTTCTTCGAAAAATTTCGGAATTCGGGCACGTGGGCCCGGGGTCGGATTTTAGGAAACTTGTGTTAAGGGTTGAGAAATTGCTTAAATAACTAGAATACGATCTTGTGAGCTTATATTGACTAGTTCCTACCTCATTTAACTAATTTTGGATCGTTCGGCTCCGAATTGAGGGTATGGGCTCGTTCGTGGTATTGGAAGTACACTTTTGAGCGAGGTAAGTCTCCATTCTAACCTTGTAAGAGGGAATTGTCCTCATAGGTGTAATAATTGAATAAATTGTTACTATATGCGGGGGCTACGTACGCACTAGGTGACGAGAGCCCGTGCATAGCTACTATTATGCTAAGTCCGGGTAGTTCAGGACCCAAAAGCATGCTCTATGTGACATTCTTGAAATTTTATGTTTAATTCGGATTTGTATAAATCATGTTGATTAGGGTAAATGAGACTAGTAAGAGGAACATTACCTTTTTTGGCCTTTTAAAGAGAAATTGATTATTTTTGTGAGTAACTGCTTCCTAGACATACACTATTGTCTGCTTGTTGTTGTGTTTATTTATATTTGACCGCGTCGCATGTTTGATTCGCGAGCGGTGTAATAAATGCATCTATGGTTCGTGTCGTTCGACCCTCGACAGTGCACAATTTACTTTTATGTTGGATCGGGTCGTACGACCTTCGGCACTACTTACGCATCCTTCATTTAGTATTTTTCTGTGGACTGAACTTCGTATATGCCTTGAAACGTAAATGGTTAACCATGATATTATCTGGAAAGAGGAACTGTTATTTCTTGCCATGAAATGCTAAATAAACTGTACTATCCATGTTTAGTATAAATTCTTTCTCATATTATTTGACCATAGTAAGTATAAGTCAACCTCTCATCTGCACTTTTTCGAGATTATACGGGATACTTACTTGGTACATATTGTTTATGTACTCATACTACACTTTTATACTTAATTGTACAGGATTGAGGCAGGTACCTCTGGCTATCAGTCTGGGGTGAGCTGCTTCCCTTCCTGTGCCGTTCAGCAGGTTGATGAAGTCTCTCTTATTTATTTTTGTTGTCTATTATATTTCAGACAATAGGATAGATTGATTCTTTTATATATTCTACTAGTTGCCCACAAATTGTAATACCGGGTCTTGGCACACACATTAGTAGACTATTCTTTTGTATATTCTTTTGGTACTTTACTGGTTATTACTCGTTCTAATCTTAAGGAATTATTGATATTGTTTGGTAAAAGTAAAATAAGAACGCATTTGGTATTTTCCACGGTGGCTTGCCCAGCAATGGTGTAGGGCGCCATCATGACGATACATGAATTTTATATCTGTAGCAACAATTTTCGCAAATTTATCATATGCAGTGCAGGAGTAACTGTGTTAGTTTTCTAGAATTACGTCAACTTACTATCCATAAGTTTTTCATATATACTTAGTAAATTGTTATATTGCAAGAAAGGAAACCACTCAAGAGTCGAGGAACAAACAAAGGTGGTTTTGGAATTTGATGATATAAATAGGACTTCCTTTTTCTTTCCCGGATGGTGTGCGGGCCAGCTCGCGCAAAACACTCGAGTATTCCACCGGATACAAGTACTAGACATGTTTATCTAAGAAAGACTGAGCCAAATTGCTGAAGCTTGTACTAACTCCACCAGCAGCTGCATAACTTTTGATGGCATCAATTACTTCTGGCTTTAAGATCTCTTCCTTGTTTGATGCATTGCAAAGATAATACAGAGCTCCTACAGCATAATTTACCTGCCAGTTTGAAGTTCATTTGTTAAAACCATTGGTGAAATGCATGCACATACACCCATATACATGTGTTACTGTTGCTCTTTATGTGCATATGCATACAATAACCATTTTTTATTGTTTAGGTAGATACACCGTGTAACAATTCGCATACTGTAATTGCTCAGAAGAGGATGTTGATGAGAGACTGACATAGACTTTGAGAAGTAAAACTGACCACCTAAGTATGAGGCTGTTCAGGATCTGAAAAAGAGGATTCACTTTCTGAAATTCCGAGTGACAAGTTCCTACTTCAGAAAGCCAGAATGATTGAAGTCTCCTTTAGGTTTAGCCGAAGAGATCGAAACGAAACCATATGCCTCTAACTCAGTTCATTCCCTATATGGTAAAGGTAGGTATCCCTGTATCCCTTTTTTGGTTCAACCAAGGTAGGCTCGTGTGGGGTTCACTCGTGAAAGGACGTGGTAAAGTAAAAACAATCTTTGCGACAGGAACAAAAATACTACTACTAAATTTAAGAGTTTTTTCAATAAAGGCAAACATCATTTTATTCTTGAAGACGCCCAAAGTAGCAGAAATTCATACGACACCAACTGTTAAAATGATTACATTCAATGGTGCCAGGTAAATTCTTATCAGAGTAATCGACAAGATTGACAGATCAATGGTACTGGATAGTTCAAATTACAATTATTAGTTTGGAGTGCTTCTCACTATGTTTATGTGCAAATTTTAACGAGTGAACAGCAAGCCCTCAATAACCAAGAAAACCACAAACTGTTTTTATGTCCTTACCGTGTTCCTAACAGGACTTGATAAACACTGGATGACGAGAGGAATACCATCATTTTGAGTAACAAGAGCAGCATTTGCTGGATCTGCAAGTCGCAAATGCATGAGTTAATTTTCTGGAGCAGATTACAGTAAGTCTACTGCGATTATGAGCATACCACCAAAAAAAAAGTTCCAAATCATGGAATCAACATAAATTCCAAAAACATTAGTCTTACCAGCACAAGCATTGCAGATTCCTCCAATCCCAAACTCCACAAGCCTCTCACTAGGCTCAGTTAAACAGTCGAGAAAAAGTTCTATAACATTAAGCTGTTTAATATTACAAGACATGTTAAGGCAAGCAGAATCGGAAAAGATGATTGAATAACAAGCTTAAACTAGTCAACAGAAGATTCTTAACCTGGCGCAAAAAGGTATAGTTGTAAGGATCATATGCAAAGTTTGCCAAATTAGCAGCAATCTTCTCTTTTGTCTCTGTAGTAACAAGAATGTATCAAACCATATAGAGCTGAAACAAGAAGTGAAAACAAAAGCACATTATAGTTACTTGCTTCTATATTGGCTTAATCTTGGCAAACATGAAATTAACTTCCCATTTAATAGCAACCAAGATATCAGACTAACAAGCTCTATCAGTTGGCATTATTGATCGTGCTCGGAGTGTTAGCCTGATGCTAATGAGAGGACAGACATCTAAGTAATTAGGCAGTTATCCCTTCGATTTTTTTTCTTTTTCTTTTTTCAGAGACAGATTTAGTCGTGTTGTCACAGCTAACAGCTATCTTCTGGTCAGTGTAAACAGTTGCTCTTTCACTCAACATCTCGCATGAAAAACTCAACTCCACAATAAGTCACCCCGGAATCACAAATACGAACACAGCTTTCTTATGACTTGAAAGTATTAATGCTTGTTTATCATGTTTTTATTTTTATATTAACATTATTGTAATCTAGAAAACACCTACGAACTCCCTGATCAAAGAATTGCAATTGACTCAACAAAAAGGTCAATATGATATTCTGATAAAACATTTTGTCTCATTACAGCAATCTAACGTTGGAGACACAGAATGAAGCAGTTGAATAAAACTCTAAGCATACCTTCAGAAGATGCATTCTGAAATTGAGTTACCAATTCCTGAATCAAGAATGAAAGAATTGATTAGTGAAATATGCGAGCGAACAAGTTTTCTGCTTATACAGAAATTTCATGTACAAGTTATGTTTTCTTAATATCAGCATATGAAGTTCTGCAGTTGAGCAGTTCCAGTTTTCTTTCTTACCTAATGTCGTCAGGCGATCAAATATATCGAGTAAGGAGGACTTACCTGAAGGTATTCCACCCTCGGAGTTCCATATTTTCCAGTGCGTTCTTCTTGCCTTTGGGTATTCGTGAACATGTGACTGCAACTATGGAAGAGGAAGAAATCAGACTGCAGCAACAATGCAAGCAGGATGCGCACTAAATATAAGCTTCTAACTTACAGTTGTATTTTCCCAGTAATAAAGCAATTAATATTAGTAAAAGCAACTTAGATCTAGCGGAAACGGAGAACAGAAAAAGCAACTAGTATCCCTTAGATTATGATCATTCCCCCTTTCTTCCCCCGCCCTTGCCATAACCTTAAACTCCACTGCTGTCACACCCCTTTTTTACAAACTCACTAACCTTCTTAAAATAAATAAAAAGATTTGTAAAGCTCAAAAGGGTTTTTAATTAAAAAGTGACAAAGAATTGTGTTCAAAAGTAAATAACTCAGAGTCGCCACCTGACATTGGTTTCGGTGTGTCAGGTCACCATTTTTAAAAATGATTTTCCTTTTAAAACACTTTGGACTCCAAACTAAGTCTGCACCAGAGATTCGGGTAAGGGGGTTCATTTGACTCGGGATAAGGTATTAGGCATCTCCAAGTTCCGTAACTAGTACGGTTGTGTGCTCGATTTTAGTTGTCTTTTAAAATATTCAAATTGAGGTAAAAAACACACAAAAAGAAAATAAACAATCAAAAGAGGCTCAAGATCGTTCCCGCCTAATAAAAGAAGATCGCAAAAAGAATAATAAAATAAGAACAAAAGTAATACGAGTTCGCTATCGGCCTCCAATTACAGAATACTACGGGGCACTCCCCAGAATAAAATATATACAAATTCTTCGGGGCATTCCCCGGATAAATTCAACTAAGGGAACGAGCTCTCGCCTCAAAACTAACAAAATCCTAAGGTTTGCCTACCCTAGTGTTAGGGCCTAATCATGCTACTAGCGATATAAACAAGCAATAAACTAAAGCAATAAAATATTTTAGGTCCAAATTCTCGTTCTCTTTAAGCCCAGCCATCTACAACCCAATTACACTAATTAGAAACCATCAATGAATTATCTTTCTCATAATCAACTTAATTAATAAAGTAGTATGCTAATGAACGAACAATGATCTCAAAAGCTAATCAGGAAAGGGCATGAAAGCAACATGAATTCGGAGAATCTCAAACCACACGGATCAAAGATTCCATTTCGTCAGAAACTCAAAATACAGGATTGAAGGGAAAGATTAGAGTAAGAAACGGACCTCAAAGAGTATGAATTTTCAACTACAGCAGCAGCAATTGGTGTTCTTATCTTCCATTTATTTTGCTTCGACCCAAATAAATATATTGTATCTTTCTCTAACCCCTATATCCCTTAACTAGCAGCCATAGTTTGTCTTAATTTCAACTTCCCCCAATCCGTTCTGTTCGTGTATGACTTCCTCCCCTCTATCACTCTCGTTCCCTCTCCTTTTCTTCTATTCACGTCCCTCTGTTTCTGTTGAGTGTGCGTTTTCTTTTTTTTAGCGATAAAGATGGAGGATTAAGGGGGCGGTCGGTTATCTTCTTGGGGTCGGCCACTGGTTCTCCCTGGGGTTCATGGAAGATGTGGCTTTTATTTGGTTTTGGGGGAATTAATATTGGCCATAGGATTAAATTTAAATAGAGGGTCAGGATTAAATGGTTATGGGTTGGGTTAGTGGGTCAATTGGGCCAAGAAGATTGGGCTTGTTGAATTGGGTTATAAATTTAGCTTTTAATTCTATAATTCTTGTAATTTTGGCTAAAAATATTAATTTTTTTCCTAAAATAATACCATAAAATTGTAAAATTAATCCTAATTAACTAAAAAAAACTATATTATGACATGAAACTATTTTTTGATATTTTCAAGGATTATACTAAATATAAGAATGGGTTAAAAATAATATTTTTCTAAGAATACCTAATACCTTGATTAAATAGAGAAAAATGAAACTATTTTTGTATTTTTTAATTTTGTGATAAAAATAAAGTAAAAGAGTCAAAACTAGTTAAAATAACGATATTAGACCTAAACTAAATATTTAAACGCTAAAAAGGGTAAAATCTCGGGGAGGATCAAAAATTACATGTCTACAGCTGCTGCACCCTTGTGCCATCCATCCAGCTCAATAACCCTTCCTCCTCCTCCATATCCCGCCCTTGCTAAGTGGTTGTCACCTTCTCGTCGGCAATCACCGTCGCCAAGAATGGCATAGTTGCAAAGCTTCATCATGCAATACATCCTTTCAGTAGTTATCCACACAAGCATATGATGTTAAGTGTGAACTCCACCCCCTCCCCCTCCCCCTTTTCCGGTCCTTTAGACAACAACAACAACAACAACAACAACAACAACAACAACAACAACAACAACAAAAAACCCAGTATAATCGCACAAATAGGGGTCTGAGGAGGATAGTATGTGCACAGCCTTACTCCTACCTTATGCCGGTAGATAGGTTGTTTCCTGTAGTCCCCGCATTCCTTTAGAATTTCATACAATAATTATGATTACTGTAAACTAGTCCATGAACAAACTCCCTATGAATCATTAATAATCAATCAAGTATCCCTCAATCTCATATTAACCAAATAATCCATCTTAAGCAGAAACTTAAGGTTGTCTAAATCTCACACTTTTCATGCTGAACATAATTACTTTGACCCCAACTAGTTGATACAACATTTTTCATTTCTTTCTATTGTGTTCTATATTTCGTTCTTAATCGGTTACGACAAGTGTATAAAGCTTTTCATTATAACAAGACATCTAATGATAACTAAAAGCCAAAAAAAGAAGTAACAAAGTTGATTATTTTGCAGCAAATTCAAAATCAACCAAATGGTTTAATAATTAAAATTCCTGAAAGATCTGAAACACATTGAAATCAAATGCTAAAAGAGGACTTTCAATTAGAAAAATGAAAATCTAAAAAAAATAGTAGCACTTATTTTAACTTAAGGTCCTGAAGGGGATTTTCAACCAATCAAATGAAACATTAGAAACAACTAAATTATGAAAAAAGAGCAAAAAATAGAGCTGTAAACAGATAAAACTTATACTTTTGAGCAAAATGAGGGAGAGCTCCGACAAGAGGAGATGATGAAATTTCTTCAATTTTCCGGCAAAGATGACGGGGGAGCACTTGGGGTTCGGAGCGTTGGGTTAGAGTACAATAGATAGGTAGAAATGACATCAGGTAGCCACTTTTTAAATGATTCTATTTAAAACCTAGCCACATTTTATAATGTATTTAAAGTTTAGCTACATTGTTGAACTGCCAAGTTCAAAACTCAAAACTTCATGACATTGGCCTTTCCGCCTTAACTTCTTCACTCTATACCTAACTTCATGACACTAGCCTTAAGTTCATTATATTATTGTTGAAGAGGTTCAAATCTTTTTTTACTATACTTTTAGCAAGCATTTGGCCATAGATTCCAAATTTATTTTGAAAAATCTGATTTGGGTGAATTTTGGTTTGAAAATGAATATGTGTTTGGACATACATTTTCAAAACATATTTTCCAACTTTATTTTGAAAAAACATGTATATAATTCCCAAATTTTAGGATTTTGGCCCAAAATCAACAATTGGGGTGATTTAGGGATTTGGGATTTGGGATTTTACCAAAATGTGGACAAAATTTATGGCCAAATATGAGTTTTGAAAATAAATCCCAAATTTATTTTGGCAAAACTCATGGTCAAACGACGCCTTATCGTTGTTGTTTGTAATAAAATGTTAGTACGTTTTCATTTACCTAATGTGCTTTGTTTCCTTTGGATAAGCTTACAAGCTATTTTACTAATTAATGTAAGCACGTAATTTTTGTCTAATATAAAATTACTCCTAGAAAACTTCAAAAGTGGATTTTAATTATTTTTAGGAATTTTGCTTTATTTTACATGATTTATTTTGTGCGTATTTATATTTGATGCATTTTCTAATAGAATTTTAAATCCTAAGAAAAATACAAACAAATATTTTTTAATCTTTACATTTTTTCAAATTTTAATTGCATAATTAATTGCATTCGTAAAAACACTACAAAATACCCAAAATATGCATACATTAGTCACTTTACCTGCATTGTTTAATTAATTAAATTGCCAATTGTAGACTAAAATAGGTAAGTAGGTTTAATTTTGCAAATTAGGTTTTAGAATTAAAAAGTTAATAAGTGATCAATTTTGAAATTCAATATAATGAAAAAAGAGAAAACACGGTTGTTGGTTTCACATTTGAATTGGGCTCCTCTTTTCAAGCTCAAATACCCGCTCAGCTTCGCCCTTATACCGCAGACCACTTCCATTACCCGGTATATCCCTTTGTTAAAACCAAACGGCGCCGTTTTTGTCACATCAAGTTTTGGTTGTCGATTTTCCATCATCCAACGGCCTTGAACTAATCAAACTCTCCCTTATAGTTGTCCTAACAGACCCCCCAAACCCTAGAACCTCCTTAATTTCCCCATCTCTCACATCTATTATCCCCCTCACCCTTAGCCGCCTCCAGAAATCATAGCCACCGGCAGTCAAACCCCAAATCATCCCAAAGGTTTATCAAACACCCCCCAGCATATCCTTATCCCAAATTCACCCTCAATTTCCCCAGAAATCTTCCCAAACACGTAGAATAACATATCTAAATTCTGGAAAACCTAATTTTTCCCTTTTTCTGATTTCTTTGGCGATTTCAACTTGTTTTGACCTAGAACCTACGTTGATCGATTGTTCTTAACAAGAACAATTGGACGTTAGTTTTTGGTTCTTCGGAAAAAGGAGGCGTGATAGCTCTGCCGACTCTTTGAGGATCAAACCTAGAATCTCTAGTTTCGCGGACCAGCAAAGTCGCCAAAGCTGTCACATCTCCTTTTTCCGAAGATAAGGGAGTTTTTTTCAACTAAAGTGATATTATTCGAAATTGGCTTATTTATTTAATTAGAGTCGCCACTTGGAATAAATGTTAGGGTGTCCCAAGTCACAATTTATTTCGAATCCCAAATCTAAGGAAAATTTTGACTCTGCTTTACAGTCCGCGAAATATGGAAGACCGGGTAAGGAATACGATTAACCCGGGAGAAGGTGTTAGGCATTCCCAAATTTTGTGGCTTTAGCACGGTCGCTTTAATCATACCTGGCTTAATTAATTACTTAATTACGTATTTTAGAACATATGTGTATAGTACCTTTTACCGCTTTTAATTATGGCATTATGGATTTATCTTTGAAACGATCACGTGTGCGTAAATCCGTTTTGTTTAGTGCGTTTAAAATCATGTCACGCGAATGTGTACACAATTAATCACGCTTTATTAATTATTAAGATTATTTTTGGCCAAAGTCGTGCGAACGTGTACCTTGATTTATTTTGGAATCATAATTATGTCACGCGAACGTATACATAATCATGATAAATTGATTAATTAAGAGCGCGCCTAAAGCATGCTATCATATTCCTGGTTAATTTCCTATAATTGGAATTATCTGTGATGGTCCAAGGATTTATGGAGTTTATTTTGTTGGGATTCGTGCGCAAGCCTAGAATTTATGGAATTCATTTTTTTGTTGTGGAAATATTGGACGATTGCTAAGCTCATTTGTTTCCAAATTGACAAAGAGAAATTTTCACAAACCACTATTGTTTAGTGGTTATTAGCTAGTTGTAGCTACCATTTACTATATTACTTTCTATAGCTATATTTTCAGTTTTGCTAGAGTGTATTCGATGTATTTATGTTATTGTATTCATGAATACAGTAGCAAAACTCGCCGTGAAATAGGGGAGTACAACTAGGCAATTATTATATTCGACTGTATTCACAATATATATTTGTGAATACAGTAACGTAAATAGCGTAAATCGTGGTCTATTCAGTTGTTTTAAACGGAAAGTGAATCAATTAACACAAATAGACTCCTAATATAACTCAACAAACTCAATAATAAATCTGAATACATAAATTATATTAATTAAAAAAAATATATGAATACGTCATGGAATATAGCGAGACAGTGAATACAATGAAATATATGGAATACAACGAGATACATTGAAATACAATGAAAAAAAGAGACAATGAATATAATGAAATACATAAAATACAGCGAAATACATTGAAATACAATTAAAAAAAAGGTAACAGACTCTTCAAGTTGCTCAGCCCCAAAACTATGTCGTCTTTGTTCAAGAATAACCCTAATGTCATCTCGTCGATAGCAGATTTCGAACCTCCATTGTCAGCTCCAATTTGCCCTAGTAACCAAAAGGGGAGAAGGGTACGACATTTTGCAGTCTACAAGAATAGTAAGAGNGGAGGGGAGGGGGGCATGGAGAAGAAGGATGAGGGGGTAAAATTATCAGCGGACCCACTTTTTTAAAATTTTTAGGCACTTTTATTTTATTTTCTTTTTCCGTTTCTTATATCAGCCTTCAGGGTGGTATCTAATTCACTCCGAACAAGAATAGAAGGGGGGAGGGTAAAAGAACACCCGTTTAGTTTAAGTGTTCAAATATATTTTTTGACAAGTTTAAGGGGGAACTTATGTATTTTGTATTTTAATTACTTCACTAT